GAACTGTTGGAGAAAGTGTTTTGTGGCAAGTCAAAGCCATGATGATCATGTGGATGGGAAATGATTATGGTGTCGCATGTGGTGGCCCTGCTATCACCATTGCAATTGCATTAATAATGCTGCAGCACAAGGACCAGCACGACGACACATAGGTTCCACAAAACGAGGCACAAACACACACACAGAGCAACACATACTGCGTACTTTTTGGCGCAAAGAATTTCATATTTGGCAATAATTATGCCCATGGTTATTTACAACGGGACTGTGCATTAACTTGACAGTGTTACATATTTGTGAGTGTATATATATAAGTATATACATATATATATATATGCCATTTAAACGAATAATTTATGCGCGCATTTAATTAAATTCCAGGAGTTGCACATATTTTCGCATAGCTGACCCAAATTTGCAGCGCGAATGAATTTGGCTTTGCTTACTAATTAAGTAAAGGTGAAAAAAGAAAGTGCGACCGCTAAAAATTAACTTTCAAAATATTTAGTTAAATGAATTTTAGTCGGCACGCAATTGGTCAAACATTTCATTTTTGAAACTAAACATATTCGTTCGCTAATTGGCAACTGACCCCCATTTGAATGCTGCATTCGATTTGGCTAAGCGGATTTTGCCCACAAATAAAAGGCTCAAAGTTAATTATTCTTAATGAGCATTAGACATTAAGCAGATTGTGTTTTTGGTTTTTTTTATCAGTTAAACTGATGTGCTGCCTGATTACATTATTTTCATTTATTTTCATTTCAAATGAATCTACTTTAATCTACATAATCATCAACGATTTTCTTTAATTTTTTTCATGAGTTTTTTTTATATTTTATGTCCAAAAAGTCGCGAAAAATACGAGCAAACCTTTTATTCAATAAATTAAAATGTGAAATACTCTTGAATACTGCATCATGCTCTAAAAATCCAATGAAAATGCTGGGTATCAGAAAATAGATGAGTATAATTTGCCAGCTAACCTATACTTACCTAAACAGAAAACATGTGATTTGCAACCACTTTCACAATTAATTAAATTATTGCCCAAAATACAATATAATACATGGAACATATCTCAACAACATTTTCATTATGCCTGCTGATTTATGCATTAATTATGCATTTTAAATGTCACACAATGGCAAATAAAGTGGCAAATAAAAATAATTGTGTTTAAACGAAATTTTAATTTGTGTGCTTGGTGTTAGTATGATTAATGCAATTGCAAATACGGACAGTATTAATTAAATAGACAGGCGAAAATAATAATAGTTGTAGATATTTATGGAGCAATTCAAATAATGATAAAACAGTTGAAAACTTTTGAAATATGCTTAGTGGAGAAAAAACTATTTGTTTACAAAAAAGATAGTGAATATAAAAAAGGCACATTCAAAGCAAAGCCAAGGAAAACTTTATCAACTGCCCAATAATATCTAAATAGTCAACTAAGCCCAAAAGCTGGGGCCGAGTTGGCCAGCAGCTAAGCAGTTAAGCAGCTAAACAGTTGACCCCCTTTGGAGACGACCCCTAAATCCATTGGTCCAAGTGTCTGACGTGACATGGCCAACTAATGATGATAGATCAAGCATATTTACACTTAGTCACACGCACATGGAGCACAGAGGATGACAGGATGTCGTCATGCCAAGCATCATTGTGCGACACCGTAACTAATTTCACTTCACAGGACAGCATCGATGTGTATGCAGCTGTGAAGGACATCGAGCTGCTGGCAGGGACAACAAACAGCAGAATATGTCAGCCGCACAGCACAAGACCTGCTCATTATTTATTAATTGGATTTAGCATCGATGCAAATTGCAACTGTTTGTGTGTGTGTATTCTCCCTGAATAGTTGCAGGTTTCAATTAAATTGAAATTCCAACAAGCACAAAATAAGCACAAAAAAAAACTAGAAGCGATTGTGTATGTCTATTTATGGCTTACCCTAAATACTTCTGTTGACATTACACAGTTCTCATCATAAATAACTTAATTTCTCTTACATATTTGAGCATGTTTTTAATTAACATAGCAGAAATATTTTCATTCGTTTGAAGTTAGGAATTTTTCACTCAAAGCAATTCACATTTGAATTTTTTGCCCACAGTCAATTTTTCTACATAACTTTTTGAAAGCCATGCATGCTATTATCGCGGATAATGAATTACAAATGACTAATTTATAATTCATTTATCAAAATGAGGCCAGCAAAAGGTATTTATGAAGAAAAAAAAACATAAATATTTTGCATTCCAAAGAAGAAGAATAAAGCTATAAATGTGCAACACAAACGGCTAAGAGTTTTGTTTAAATGCTAATTTTATCTTTAGTTGTTTATTAAGTTTAAGTTGTTAATTATTTGCTAAATAAAAAATCTGATTTTGGGCAAAATCACTTGAGACAAAGAAACTTTTGATTCTGCTTAAATGCACTTTTTGAGGGTATAATATTGACCTGATTTTCTAATCAGTATCGCGATTCAACTTTGAATGTGGTTTTGATCTAGAGGCCATTATGAAAAATCACTGATTTTTGAAAATCTAATCAATTTTTTCAAAGTTACGGCTTTCGAAAGTTTTATGACAACTTTAAATGGTATTTTTTGGTGACACTTCAGCGATCGATCTGCAAATCCCAACATTTTTACAACGCGGCCAGTGAATAAAGCCCTTAAATTAGGCCGAACGTTGCACCATTTCGCCATAAGCCCTGATAATAATGGGTACGTTTGGATGGATTAAATGCCTGCATAGATAATAAAAGCAAGCAGTGCGTTCCACTCGCACTTTTCAGTTTTTCCGCGCGAAAAGTTCGGCTTAACTTTGGCTTAAGTCCAAAAAGAACACACACAAAAAAAAAACAAAAAATAAAACACATTAAATAAAGTCGCTGCGGGCGGCTTATGGCCAAAAGCAACAACAAAAAAAAACATGATGCGTACAAATGCAAGTCTCATTAATTTGGTCTGGGCTGCAATTTAAAATATAGCACTTGCTGGATGGGCGGCTGGGGGGAGTGGCATCAGTTAATTAACACCTGTGTGCTTCTAGCTCTCTGTTGTTGTTGCCATCCAAAAGGGGAGCGTATAGAAAGAGGCAGCAGGGGTGCTCTAGGAAAACCACTTCAGGCACACTTTTGTGCGCGACTGTTGTGTGCGCTGACGCAAAGCGGAAGTGGCACTTGGCAGGAAAGCAGCCGCCGTCGCTGTCGCTGTCGACGTTGCCACAGCAGAGCATCAGCAGCAGCAGCAGCAGCAAGCGTATCGAAAACAGAAACTTTTGATGGAAAAAGTTTGCAACAACAAACGCATTCTGGCCGAACAGCAGTTGGTTGTTTGCGAGGGAGGCGCCTTAAAAACCGTCAAGAAAGTCGCTATAATTCTCGAACAGTGCCTCATGAATTTTGATTTTACACTGTTTGGTGTGGATTATTTTTACCTTTTTTTTATTCTGACGCACAATCTTAGATTTGAATAATGAGCCTGTGCTGAGGTGCACGAAAAATGCAGGCTTAAAGATTTAATGCTTAAAGCGAGAAACGGCTAAACAAATTTATGCCTTGATAACGGGTCGCAGACAAAAACAATTGAAAAGTGCGAGCCGGTAAAAAGTTTTTTGGCCTGCCCAACAAAAGTTGGCGAAGTGCTCAGTGAATTGTGGCCAACAAGAGCAATGCACTACACTGCCGGAATGACAGGTGCCGTGAAATACGGCCCAGTTGCAGCCCCGGACCAAAAGCCACAAGGCCTCGCACTGCCAGAGTCTCGCTCATAATTCATAAAGCAGCGCAGCCCATTGCGGTCATATTATATTTCTGACCAGAGACCAGAGACCAGAGACCAGAGCAGCGCATCGGCCAACAATTTCAAATTGGATGTCAGCAGGCCAGCTCGAGATTTGTCTAATTGCTAAGCAGCAGCAGCGGCAGCAGCAGCAGCAGCAGCAGCATCAAAGGCAGTTATTCTTCTTCTTCGTCCACCTTCCCATTGATCGGACAACTGCAGTATACTCCATGTCCGTGGAGAACTCTGGATTATGCAAATGCGCAGCAGCAACAAAAAGTTTGTGACTCGAGAAAAGAGCAAACTAAATATACAAAAATCTACAAATAAAAAAGTTTGTTCAACTAAGAGATACCCTGCAATAAATTGCTTAATTATGTATTCAATTAGCTCTGTGCAAACTACAGCTTAAACTGTAACTTAAACTTTAGCCAACAAAGAATAATTTCTTTTTTACTTTGGATATCTTCACAATAACCTTATTTACCGATTAGCTGGCGACAGGGTATACAAAGCAAAAAGTAAAGAAAAAAAAACAGACGACGAGAAACTGCAACAGGGGCAAGTTTTTGCTGAGTGTTAGCCGCAGTTAGAATGCTGATGACTTTGGTAACAACTTAAATTGTTTGGCAGCAATGGATATATGGATATATGTGTGTTCGTAGGTATATGCTACTCACCAAAGAGGACAAAGTTGAATTGCGTTTAGGGACTCACGATTTGTAAGTAAACTCGTGCTGCTCCTAATACTGCATAAGCGTTGTCAAACATTTTAGCCAATTATCTCGTCAACTTTAACCTACACATGCAGGTCGGGTCAGAAACTATAAATTTCAGATAGATGATTCAATGTATTTTTAAGTATAATTAATTTTAATGTATATTTAGTATTTGACAATTAATTAATGTGACAGCTTAAAGTGTATAAAATATACGAACAATAATGCAATAATGGAAAAATTTGTTAAAACACAAAACACAATTGCGAAATTGGTCAAATTTATCGATTCCACAAAGGCTTTCGTATTGAAAGCGGAGAATTGTCCATCCGCCGGAGAGTCATTTGGGAACTGTTCCACGTCGATGTTGCTGATATGTTCTGCAGTCTGATCGGGCTCATCAGCGTTGCACAACAAGCTTTCACGACTTTTCCTTGAAAGATAACCCATTTCACAAACACTTCTTATATATGTTATAGATTCATTACCACATCATCGAGCAGAGCAAACGTTTAATCGAAAAATACAATTCTTTCGGCGATGTTGTCAGCTTCAAGTCAGTTGGCAAACTGAAACAATTGGCACTTAAAGCAGCACCAGGGTCGGTCTTCGGTTTCAAATGCAAGATTCATAAGAAAATATCCTGACTCAGCATAAAGCATTTAAACAAATCTTTAACTTCTCGCCGCGTCAACGACAACAAAATTGAAGTTGTTGCTTTTAGCATCTGAAAACAGTAAGAATTCGAGACAAAAAATATTAATAATTTGAAGTATGTGAAAGACTTGTAATGAAATTTACAACAATTTGGTAATGAATAAAAATAAATAATAAATAATTAATTTGAATCACTTAGCAGTCATTTACAGAGCACTAAATTTATATATTTATCATTTAACTAACCATAAAGTATTTAATGGTATTTCAAACAGCAAAGGGTTCAATAATGCTTTAACATTTTTACTCATACACATTGTTTGAATATTTAGTAAGAAAAATTCGATGGTAAGCATCAACAACAAATATTTCCACAACGTAAACAAAAATGTTTTTCATTTGCATAGTTGGGTATTTTGTGTATGTGAGTTCGTGTGCAGAGGGCTTTGGAAATTGATATTGTGATCGTGTTATGGGGATAGTCTAAACATGAATTGAAAGTAAGAATTGTACGTTGCAAGATACCCTGTAACAAAACTAAAAGTATTACTGGGGAAAGTTGATGATGATATCTGTTCAATCTGTTTAGTTTTGATGGAATTTCATTTTGAATCTTGACTTTAAGTTATATATGCTTAACACCCATTTCATTCGTATTCTGTGTAAAGGGTATAAAGTAATTCACACCCTGCTAATCAAACAAATTACGCCTTACTTTTCAATTATTTAATAAATGAAAGTTTTAAATTGAATTGATAAGTTTTGACCTGCGCCAGAAGAGGGTATTTTGAAGAGTATGAAATACTGATCATTAATACAATATATTTATTTTAAATCAAATCTGCGTCGGTCGGCAATTTAGATGCAAACTGTTCGCTCGACAAATGTCAACAGCGTCGCAAAGATTTCACTATTGTTTGCATTAGGCGACAGTAAATGCATTCCATTCATGATGAATGTAAACCAGTAAAACCAAAAACTGTGTAAACCAAAAATTATTGTTGCTGGGTCTAACATGTATTGAAGTCATAATTGATAAAGCTGCAGTTGTGAAAGAGTCGAACAAAGAACTGTAATAGGCTCTCTCTCCCTCTTTCAGTGCCTTATCTTATCTGAGTCACAAAAACAGAAAATACATATATATAAAAATATATATTTATATGAAAGAGCGTACCAGACTTTTCGTGAAGGCGGCGGTGACTTTCTTAAACGGGGGTAGACCGATTAGTAATTTCCTAAAATTGTAAAATTTGTTTTATTTTAAGCCATTTTGCATCTATGTAAAGTTGAGATTTAGTTGGGGTACAGCATTCTAGCCCTGGCTCCCCCTGCACACGCCCTTGCACATCTGCACACAAAAACAGATGTGTCAGACGCTGTTTTTGTAGCTGTTGTAGGTTCTCAGTTGATATTGCTGTCGCCTCTATTAGCACCTTTGGCGCTATGATAATGAGGCAGACAACAACAACTGTTGCTGCCACTGCTGCTGCTGCTGCTGCTGCTGCTCGATGTTCGATGTTGGGTTTTTTTTAGTTCCAAGACGATCGCAGTACGGCATGGACACGGAGGGAAATAAGTTCGCGTCAACGTCAAAGGCGCTTGGCGGCCACGATGAAGTTGATTTTACCAGCGGTTATGAGACACAGTATCGCAAGGAATATAGTCCCCTAAAGCCAATGTTTGTGCCACCGCCGGATAAGCGAAACGCCTGGTATCGCAGCTGGTCCACAATATTTGTGATTGTATTTCTCGCGAGCATTTTTCTTCTGGGCAGCATACTGCTGGTGGTGCAGGTCTTTACTGTGAATGCATTGCAGGTGTTGATCATTGTTACCAGCTATGTAATGATAGCGGCACTCTTGATCTGGCTGGAAGTGCAGAGCATCAAGATACTGTGATTAATGGGGCCACGTAACTCACGTATTCAGCAAACCTTACCTCAAACTGTGACTAATATGCCGGAATTTAGTTTAATTTGTGTTGTGCAAACTTATTGAAAATTATTATCATATGTGAAAAGCCATTTGCTGATTAAGGCATTACACTGATTTCAACTAGCTTTTATCAACAAAATTTTATTATATTAAAAAATATATATATGTATATAAAGATAAACGTTTGGAATCATTTTTGTGCAACTTTAAATCAAGCGACAACTGTTATATATATATTCGTATAGCTCTGCTGTGTTATATACGAACGTGTTAAGTGTAATAAAACCACGACCAATAAATGAACCATCCATAAAGTGTGTGTTCTATGCACGACTTTGAACTAAATTTTTAGATAACCACAATCTGTCAATGAGAACTAATTAATTGTTTATTTACTTGTTGCATGGCATGACAATGGAATCTAATTGACAAAACAGAAAGACCTGTTGACAAACAAAACTAAAACAACAAAAGCTAAAGAAAAGCTATAGATAAAATAGAGAAAAAGAATATCGATATACGAGTAAATAAAAATATAGACAAACTTTTAATACTCTTTGTAAGCCTAAAAGTGATTATACAACAAAGGCAGGGCAAAATTATATAACAAGATAAACTGATCAGTTTTTAGACAAGCTCTATGAGCCATAATCTGTGAACTGCACTAACACGGCTAACAAGCTAAGTTTCCATCAGTTTTGACCTACTTTTTGGTCAGATACCTGTAAAAATATCGTTGCAGCTTGTATTTAAATGGTCACAAACATTTTGACGTCTGTTGTAAAAGCAAAGCAAAACACAACAAAGCTCATCAAGCTGGACGATAAGAAAAAGTGCAACTTTAATTTCCGCTGGCAGCCAAATCGACTAAGAGGGAAAGAACAAGGAGGGGGTTGGGGAGAGCGAATGGGGACAAAGGGCAACAGCTGACTTACCTTAATTACTCACAGAATTTCGAGCCATGCTAATTATTTGCACTGTGCTCTGTGTTTTTATGAATGGGTGTGTTTCTATGACTGTGTGTGTGTGTGTGTGTGTGTGTGTGTGTGTGTGTGTGTGTGCAGAGTGTAGCTCGTGGCTTAAACGACGACGTTGACATCGTTGCCGACGTATTTAATTATAATGGCGAATGCGCTTAGCTTAAGCATTAATGTCGTTTCCGTTTGTTGGCGGCGATGGCTATTGCTATGGCGATGACGATGAAAATGCCAAGGACGAAGGATATATTTTTTGCTTAACAAAAGGCGTGGCCGCTTGTTGTCTTTCCTTTCTTTTTTTTGGCCACCAAGAGGCTCCGAGTAGCGTTTTAATTAGAAGCCTGCAATGTCCTTTGCACATAATTTTTCTTTGGTTGCCAAAAAAAAAAGAAGAAAATTGCTTTGGGAAATCTGGATTGCTCAGTGATGCTACACAGATTAAGTGAACTAAAAAAGGGATAATTTAAATAAATACCCTGCACTTGTGACACAGTAGCTGATAGTCCTGCCTGTCATTATTTTTACTGCCAAAGTCAATCTTTAGTTTACTGCCCGATTGCAGATTATTGTCAATAAATGCATTATTTGAACAAAAAGCTGGCTTCGTTTATTGTTCTGCACTTGCAATTGTATGTTTATTTATTTGTTGTAATATTTAAAGCCTTGATTTATTCATATGTGATGAATTTAAATTATTCTACAACAGCTATGGACATGGTCAATTTGCAGAACAGAAGGTAGCAGGTCAACTATGTAAATAAATCAAGGTTGCACAAGGACTCAACAGTCAAACTGCAACAACTGCTCGGTCTGATTTTGATGCCATTTGGCAGCTGACTAGGGAAATGTGTCTTCGAATTTACTTAAGTAAATCTCAGTTGAACGCTTTTCATTTAGCCAAACAGGGCACAAACTAAGTAAATATAAAATTGCCATGCAAGTTGCTCTGAAAGTGCTTGATGTGTGCGCTTTGGACAAGGTAAATTAATAACTTTTTAAATAAATAGAATCAGGCTGAGAATGTGTTGACTATTTTCTGATGAAGTGCTTGAGATAGTTGCATTTCCTAATTCCCTAAGAGCATAAAATAAATGTAAATTTAAAAATGGACAGCCAGCAAAACAGATAATTAGTTCTAAATGCTTTGTTCATTTATTTATACTTACTATTTGTTTGTATATCATTAAAAGGTAGCCCAAAAGCAATTCCACTCTTAGTTTGCTCACCAATTATAAATTCGTTTTACGACAAACTATTAAAGTATTAAATTAAATTACTAGCGAATAATGCATAATATAATATAAGTCCACTGAAAAGTATTTATTAATTATCGCACACGATGCATCCCTTAACCTTTTTATTTGTTTGCTGTCAATAAAAAATGCAAAAAGCAACCGCTTCCAATTAGAGTAATTATTTTTAAACGCTTTTGCATTAAAATGCAAGTAAATGTAAATATGCTTTTTATACTTGCAAAATATATAAAATCTGTATGGTATTTTCCATTAAATTCTGGAAAAGTGGTAAAGGCCTTGTCGGACAACACTTTGGGCCAACACAATGAGCTGCAGTCGCATTTAAATTTGTTGCACACAAACGCATTTGAATATTCAATTAAGTCCAACTGCCAATTCGGTGATAAGCTGCTGCTGGTATCCCAACTAACTGACAACCGGCTGAGCTCTAGCAAAAATTTGAGAGTTGTCTGAAATGGAAAAGACAACTGAACTCATTGCCAACCACTGTGTAAGTGTGTATTTTGTCATCTAATCGCTTTGGCCAGAAAGCCGAACAATTTTCAGATGCAAGGAAAATTGAATATTGCATTCTTAGGCTTATCCATACAAATTTTTGTCGTTTTCCAAAAAACATAAATCTTTTTAGGCCACAAACAAATTTTTAAGTCGACTCGAAATTTCCTTAAAAATACACAGACAATTTTAATTTCTGTTAAAATAATATTGAAAGAGAACAACAAGTGAAGGGTACTGAAAAGTATCTCAAGATGAAAATACCGCAAAATTCTCGACTAACTCTTTGTGTATACGGACATACATACATACATACATGCATATGTATGATATGTAACGAGCATGTCAAAGCATTTTGCGACATATTTTATTTATTCTATAACGAGTAAATGTCGAAAAAGTCAAGCGTATGCAAACAACATGCATAAATTGCCACAAAAGAGGGGACACTTCGAGCGTGTGGCATCGTGCAGAGTTTAGTCCAGTCACCGCTACTGTGCAGCTGGCCAATGCAAAATGTGTTGAAATATTTAAGCCAACAAAAAAAGGAAGGAGAGAGAGAAAAAGCAACCACAGCAACAAAAAAAAAAAAAACAGACTGTGCCCAAATGCAGATGAGCAGCAGCATTCTTTCTAAGCCAAAGTTTTTGGACACTTTTCTGAAAGCCTAAGAGGCCACTTTAGTTTTAACCACAAAGTTTGGCTATGTGCTCTCTGCTGTTTGCTGTAACCTCGTTGCACTTTTGTTTTTACCATTGGCCTTTCATGTCATTTAACTATTTTTCCTAATTTCTGTTCCTTACTTTTTTCTATCCCTATTTTGGGGTAGCAAATGGGGCAAGGACAATGTTTTCGATTGCTCTGCAAATTCAATGGATAACTGTGAAGTTCTCTCGACGATATTTATTTAAGCTTCTAAAGCCCGTAAGCGACTCAGGTATTTAATTGTTAATTATTTATTTATAGTTTTGGCTATATTACGATTTTATTACCTTAATTGTTTGTTTTTTGTCAGTTTCATTTGACGCTGCACTTAATGGCATGACAATTAATTTGACATTTAATGGTGTAAATGTGTGTTTGTGTGTGTTGCATTGTGTTGCTTGCCACGTGGCATGTTTGTTTATTTATTGTTTTAATGTTTGCCAAGTGTAAATAAATCGGACTAGCATACATTGTGCTTGCTTCATATGGTCACGTGTTGCTTGCGAATAATGCCAGCATATTATGTTTATAAATATCGCAAATAAATCAGACCATTAATGTGTTAACCACTGCTACGCTGGCGTATACTTGATGCATATATAATTGCACATGGCAAGCAATGGCAAGAAATTAATTTAAAGCATAAACATTTTGCTGTAACAAGTAAACAGTAGCTTTAATTATTTAATTCATTCAACCAACATATTTGTTATTCTCGATATTTTCATGGTTCATAGATTTCTTATTATTTATATGCACATATGTATAAATTAAGTTAGCTTTCTAGTTAATTTGTATTCTATATTTATGAGATATAGTTTCATTACATATGCTGTGTAATATTAAAATATAACACTATTAGTAGTAGTTGAGCATTGATATTTGTATAAGTCAACAGTGCGTATGGTTTATTTATATATTTATTTTGATGCTGGCAACTCTAGCGGTTTGTGGATGTACTCAAGCAAAAGCTTTTGAAGGTTTCGGTATAGATTAAAGCTTTTAAGCTAACGACATTGAATGCGTCTTGACTAATGGCGCTATAAACTTTGAGCTCTGGTAAATATGGAAAACAAACAGGTCAGAAAAAGTAATGAAAATATTACAAGTATATATTTGTAGCAAACTTTATGCAGTATTTAAATAATACTCCTTATGTGCAAGCACAATACGCAAGCTTCTGTTCAGCTTTGGCAACTCCTGGCAACCCTACTCATTGTCCAAAGGAGTCCTCCAATGGAAGACAACGTTGACGACGGCGACGACGACTGCGTCTAGCAACGCGAAAAGCTTCTCAATTTGTCGTCAATTTTCCGGCACAACAGACGCAATCATTGTGTTGGCGAAGACGCGCGAGAGCTCTGCGACCACAACCTAAAGTAAAAACACCACAAAAATTATACTAAAAACCTTTGCAAATCAAAAACAATATAACTAATCTAATTAAGGTGTAAAAAAGTACTACAAAAAAGAAATCAAGCGCGAAATTACAACTAAGGAAAGTGTTTGGTGGCTGTGTGTATTTGCCGAGCGGGCGATGGAGAGGGAGACACAGAGAGAGAGAGGGAGAGAGCGAGAGAAAATTGTGCAAGTGCAATAAACTGTGAATTATCCAGAATAAGCAAAGCGCTACACAAAATGCAGCTGGAACCAAACAAGCATCCAGTAATTCTATTCTGTTGAATGTCCAGCTAACTCTCGTTTCGTATATTATGCAAATTAATTTCAATTGGTTTGCACTCTGGATACACAAACGCAGCAGCAGCAGCAGCAGCAGCAGCAGCAACAGCAGCAACTGAAGCAGCAGTAGCAACATTAGCCGTAGCGGCTTTGCTGTTGCTGTTGCTGTTGTTGTGATTTCCGTTGCTTGTAGTATGCGGCAGTGTCGTAGTAGCTATAGTAGTAGTAGTAGTAGTAAGTAGTGAATAGTGAGTAGTGAGTAGTATATAGTTTTTTTTTTCTTCCACATTTTCGTATACACAATTTGGACAACTATGCTTGCTTCTTTGTCGAGTTGCAGCTCGGCAAAATGCTCTCTCTCTCCCTCTCTCTGTCTCTGCTTGCCCCTCTCTCTCTCTCTCTCTCTCTCTCTCATTCTCTGGCTATCTCGTAAGCTCCCCTTTAATAACAAGTGTGTGTACTTGATTTACCGGCATTTGCAGCGCTAAACTCATATAAATTGTTTCACAAGAATTTTTTAATCATACATAAAGCCACATAAAACGCCAAACGAAAGTTGAGAAAGTGCCGGGAAAGTAATTAAAAATACCAGAAACTCATGTTCATGGATAGAAATATCTTGTTACACATGCAACAACAAATGTACTTTTAAATTATGAAGTGCATTAACTAATTTCAAATGTGTAAATCTATTTGATATTTTCATTTAAAGTTCAGTCGTGTCCAAAAGGTTATGCACTTATCTATTTAATTATATACAAGTATTTGGAAGTATTATCTGTGTGTGTCTGGCATTTAAGATTGTGCAATTAAGATTAAGATTGAATAAAATTTCTTTAATTGTTACTGCATAACTACATATTTCGTATCGAACTACTATATTATTATTCAAATGTATCTGCATATATTATTTCAATTCTCAAATTATTCCCTTCCCTATAAATACGGATGCTGCTTTTTAGAATTATAGACTGAGGCTTACTCTGTTTCCAGTTTCTGAGAATACTTCACTTCGTACCTTGACTCATATCATAAATTTATAGATATATATTGTTTCTAGAATAATTGATATGTTAGAATGCTCAGATTTCATTATTTAAAAAAATATTATTTATAGGATCTCTCTTTCTGAACTCGACAAAATACCCTCTCCTTTTGCCCTATTATTGATCAGCTGCAGGGTATTAAAATGTATATATATACATTACAAAATTACAATACACTTTTAATCAAGATAATCATCGGCATAATCATCATCACTCACTATGCATATGAAATGCAGTCAGAGGAGGCCCTGCTGACTCTGCTGCTGACTCTGCTGCCGACTCTGCTGCTGACTCTGCTGCTGTTGCCTATTGAAAGGCGACTAAAAATAAAATATCCGCCTGACTATAATATCAATTACAATGACGGGCCGGCAGTTTCAGTTCAGTTCCATTCCACAAATAAAAACGACGACCAGACCAACAATGATCAAGCGAACGAAAGAAGAAAAAAAAAACGATAATAATAAAGTTGCACGAGACTTTTATTATAAAGCAGTCGAGTCGGCACACAATAAAGAAGCCGAAAATGTTAATTTGTGAAAAAAAAAGAAAATAAGCCCACGAGTTCGACTTCGACTTCGAGTTCGAATACGAGTTCGAGTTCTCGTACTTCTGCTTTTGTAATGAATGCAGCAGCTGTGGACACCGGCGACGATTCAGTCGCCCCAACAATAATCACAGCAATTGCTAGCAGACAGACCCAGCGTGAGAGAGACAGACACACACACAGAAATAGAGAGAGAGAGAAAGAGATGGGAACTGGGAGCATAACTGTAAGTGCGGCAGAGCGTCGAGACGCGACGTCAGTTGCACAATTTTGCACATAAACCAAAACCAAAGCATAATCATGAATAATGAGCGCTTGTGATAAGTGATAAATGCCCAGTGGGAAATGTGTAAGCACACTGAATACAACACGCTTACAGCAAACAACAATAAAATGCATTCAAAAAGAACTCAAATTGAGAAACTTGATTTTAGCTGGGAACATCTCAGAGAAGAATTTTTAACTTTAAATTAAATCTGAAATGAAGAATGTCTTGGGTGCTCTCAAAAATTGCACTATAATTTATACATTATATATATATACATATATAAATATAATATTTATGCAGTCCTGATATGTTTGGAATCCCATCGGGGTTCTTCTTATCGGAGAATACAAAAATATATATTGATGTTTCGTAAGTTGATAATTTATTAACTAACTAAAAAAAAAAAGGTCAGCTAACGCAAAGCAATTAAATTTTATATAGATTCACGTATTAGGTTTTAAAAAAAAACATGATATCAGGAATTATTATCAAAAAAATTCAAAATATTTAACTAATTAATAGAAAAGTTGAAATTGAGTCGTAAACTGCTCTGTAAAAAATCAAAATTAAATGTTTCTTAAATGGTTTCCTCGAAACGAATTAATTTTATACTGCACAAGTTTAGTGCACATTTAACGAGCCTGCATTTGTCACACACAAATATATTATTAAGAAAAGCCACAATACTCTTTACACAGCGTTGCCAGACAAACAGGTTTTGCTGTGTGTGTCATCCAGCCCATTTGCAACTGGGCATTCGCTAAGCCCGTTTTGGACTCCCGGTTGAGCACTAAACGCGCCCAGACTTGCAGTATGAAACGGGAATTGGTTCGGTTCGGTTCGCTAAATGGACACGCCAAAGGTGAAAATTCTTTAAAAGAAAAAAAAGTGCCTCAAAAATCATCATCATTATAACAATGCATATAAAATCAAATTTGACAAAAATATACGTTGAGTAAATATAAATGAATTAATTCGAAAATTTTAATTGTTTAAAGTGTCGCATATATCTATCTGTTTAAATCTTTTGATTAGTTCTAAGTATTTTTTGCCGCCCAAGTGCTTGTGTCACAGTTTGGATTTATTTACGCCGCAGTTGTTGGCCGTTTAGTTTGTCAACTTCAATTGAAATTAATTTACTTTCTTCTGTCTGTATCTGTATCTGTATCTGTATCTGTATCTGAAGCCGTATCCGTAACTTGTGCCTGTATCTGTGTATCTATATGTATGGCCGCCTGTCGACTGTCGCAGCCTTGTGATGCGATCAGATTTAAGCACAAAGGTCAGCAAATAAACAAATTGTCTCATTTTATGGTTGTTTATCATATGAAAGCACACAGAAAAGAAAAAAATAACTAACCCAAAGCCTGGCAAATTTTCAATCTAAATTCGCAAAGCTGCATGAGATACAAAAAGTATCTTTAACTAGCTGGAAAAAAAAGACAACTGCCATGAAAAACGTGAGAGAGACTGGTTTTTTTTCGGCTTTTCCACCGAGTCGAATACGTAATCGGTCCAAATATGGCCAAACTGCAAACGTAAACTGTGCCATTTGTTTGGCAGCAATGTACAAGTATTTATATATTTGTAAGATGATGCAAATTCGATCGTGATCAGCTCAAACTATTCTGGGCATAAAAAAAGCATTATTTGATTTGCATACAAAACACACATTAAATTTCAGACACAACGCCCCGAATATCAATGAGTTTTATTCTTTGAAATTAATTACAAATTTGTTGGAATAGAATATGTTAAAGAATCACATTAAGCAATCTGTCTTTCTCTTAAATGTATCTTATTACTAATATTGTATAGCATTTGGCAATTATGTAAAGTGTCTGCGCAACAATTTGCAAACCGAAAATGAATAAAATCGTGGTTCCATAACCAAAAACGAAACTCAAAACTGCAAAAATACAACAAGAACAAAAAGTGGATAACAAAATAAGTGCAAAGCAAGCGAAATCAAGAACGAGTATTCTTCAAAAGTGCTAACAATTACAAACAATTTGCGTTTACCAGAGACACAAACTTGAATGTCACACAAAATGTTGCAAGTGCCGGGAGCAACATTATTGTTGTTGCTACTGTTGGCAGCAGCTGCAGCTGCTGCAGGCAGCGGCGATACAACACCCATCACCATCGTGGAACGGCAAATTGATGCCAGTCTGAAGAATGCCAAGCTGATTGAGAGCAGAGTGCTGCCCGAATTGATTGGACTGCAGCGCAACCAGGAAGATGACAAGTGGCACCACATCACCCGGTTTATCGACGATGGCTTTCCCGTTTTGGAGCTATACGGCTACAAGATAAAGTCAGGTGAGTGACAAATATAGAGACACGTATTGATATGTGTAAGCTATAAAAATGCAGTTAAGAAAGACGCTGAGTTGCAAAGAAATGATTCAATTTATTATTAAAATATAAAAAGGTCTTTAGTTAAATTCTATAATTACATTATTAAATATATTAAACTGTACAAGCACATTTGAACAATAAGAAATATGTATTAAAAGTTTCGTTAATTGCATGAAAAAAAGTAAGAATGCTCTAGTCGAGAGAGTTCGACGAGGAGATACCCTTCGTCCAAGTCTGGATGAAATGCCTAAAGTAAATGCATAACTAGTATCTAAGATGTGTTCAAAGTGATGTGAATTTTACTAACATCGGTGGTCGATTTTGATAGACAATGAAAAACAGATTCAATGAAATAAAATAATAAAACGAGTCTTTTACTTTTATGCTCTCTGTGATCCGTTTGTTCAAACAGACAGACTGATGGACCTATCAAAATCTATTTTATTGCTGTTGCTGATCAAGAATATATATGCCTGTTAAATACTTAAGCACATCTTACTCAAACTCTTTCAGGTTGGGTACAAATATCAAGTCGATTTTATGTAGATACGATAAAAGAGTTTCAAGTCTTTTGGGAGAACAAATCCTGAAATCCCATGTACTTTTCCAACTTATGATTAAAGAAAGCTTAGACAAATATGATGTGGGCCACTAATTATATGAACATAATTGGGACTCCACTTAATGTCCATGTTTTTCCAGTAAGTGCTTCTTCCAGGCGACTGGTGCGTTAACCAGAATGCTGTTGGTAAACATGCTCCAGGCCCAGCTAAGGAACAGGCACTCCAGAATATGACCACGATCCAGCTGAAAGATACTCATCTTGTTGTGCTCCATGGCCCTAAATAGTGTCAACTTGTAGATACAGAAGATTTGTAGCTGCCATAAATGAGCAAAATGAATACACATTTAATAATGACCAATTCAAAAGTACATTTTACAAACTTACTTGTTGCTGTTTGGAGCAATTGTTCTTGAACCGAAGCAGCCGATGTCCAAACTGGCGCTCAGCCGATAGAATGTATTGAGTTTGGTACACAATGCATAAGGGATACAGTGAGGAGATGCCGATGCTATAGCCCAAACGGCCGATCCTTTGCTGATCAAACAATAGTAAATGAAAGCTCATTATACAAAAGATGAGTTCCTTGAACATGGCCACACCGACGAAAGGACGCAGGAGCAACGCAAAATGTTGTCTCAGTTGCATCAGCGACACATAATCTTCAAGTAGCTGTTTATAGACAGCAAATGTGCAACGTTTGTCTTGTATGCTCGCCATGTGTTGCAACTCCTTTGCATAAAAGCCATGCAACATCAGCAATCCCAAATGTGTCACAAGATTCAATAATATTGGCTGCACGCATACAAAGAGTAGACTGGAAACGCCCAAAGCATAGCTAACAATTGATCCACTTTTCACATAGGGTATATAAGGGAAATTGTTAGCTCTTGTCGATACAATCAACGTGATGAGGAAATTGCAGAAATAGAAGACAAACAAATACCAATTGATGGATGGTGCATGGCCGTAACGTCGATAAAATCGCTGATATATTGCCAAAAACTCGTTGAGTACACTTTCAGTTTGTTGCCTACGATATTTATAAATATATGTAGTTGATATGGTTGTGAAGATGTTCGTAAATTTCAGAATTAAAAAGCCCAGAAAATACATCATCATCAATGCCGAATCATCCGTGCCGCCCGTCACAATGATCAAAAACCGGAGTGTAAAAAAGTATATATGCAAACAGAAGACCAGGATCAGGAAAGGACGCAGCCAAATCCAGTGCAGAAGTGTGACCAGCAATTGCAATTTTCGTCGTCGTACAAATTTTCCCCGGCTGGGTACAAATTTATAGATATTACAGCCAAAGATTGTGGATAAAATATCCAACACGCGGAGCGTTACCGTTAGCAAGGACATGGTGCAAGAACTAAAACCATTTACTCGCCATGCAACTTTTGGTTGCTGGTGGGTGGTGTTGTTGGTCGATTGCTGCCACAATGCCGACACTGATTAATGGCCAACTAAATGTTCAGCTCATTTGTTTAATAGTGTAGCCAAAAATGACAACGAGAAAGAGGAGCAAGTGTCGCCAAAAACAATTTTTGATAAATTGAGAAAGCTCTTAAATTAAGACAAGCAATTCACAAACTTTAACTCGGCATTCACACTTTGAAATGGTTTTTGAAGAAATTGATGTAAATATTAAGTGTTGGCAATCAAGGGGATAATCGAATAGATATTAACACTTATTTATTATTGTATTATATACACAGAGAAGAAGTTTTAAAGGGGTACAATGAAGTTCTGCAAAAGTATGTAACATAAACTGCCTAAATTGTATACATATTCTTGATCAGCATGAAGATTAGTGTGGATTTAACCATGTCCATCTGGAAGAATTAGACGATATCCGGAGACTATAAGATCTGGAATATGGAACATATCATATGCTAGATCAATTTTATTTCATTTTGTCGATAACTGGCTTCGTTTCGCACATGTCGATAAAAATCGATTTCCGATGACACCTTATCCATATTACCCTAATGCATTATTGATCGATTGGAAATTCATGTTCATCAAAAACGATACAAATCGATTTCCGATGACAATAAAAGATACCTCAATCAATATTATTGATCGATTGGAAATTCATGTTTACGAAACGTATTTTCATATTGAAAAAGATCATTTTTGTTTCGGTTTGGCAAAACTGTGCTTCAATTAATAAATACATTCAACAGCTGCATTCCTTAAGCATTTTAACTTGCTATATTTTGGAATATTAATTTAATTTATTTTATTTAACTTGTTAGCCTATCAATTTTTGTTGTTGCCCCTGTGTCCTTTCACTAGCTAACTTCCATCTAACCATCTAATTGTGAAAATGTTGTGTACTAAGTTCATAGAACTGTCCAAATCATAGAAACATTGCTAGACTCGTTGCTCGCATTCGCGTTGAATAATGATAAGCAAGAAACTTGGGTATCCAACACAAACAAACTCACAACTATAAAATCGCACGTGAAGGTATCTCTGAAACTAAACAATGATAGAATTGCTTATGCAGCAAGATAAGAATCTTAAGTTCAGTGTACCTTTACACATATCTTTATTTACTGTGTATATATGTGTGCATTCATCAATTGTATTTGTATTTGTATTTGTATTTGCAGCTACGCCATATACAATGATAATACCGAAAATTGATGTGCGAACAATTGAGAAGCCACGTTTGAAGGAATTCATGTTGGAGCACTTGGTGCCCGGCAAGGTCTTTGATAGCTACAATACGCTGGCCAATGGCAGGGAGGAGGAGGAGTCGTTTGGTAATGGTAATGGACATAAAATCGTTTTTCGTAAATTGGAAAAGTCCCACAACAATGTTTGGCTACTCAACGGCCAACAAATACTCTACAAGCTACGTATCAATGAGCATTTGATGGCCATTGGAATTGATGGATATTTGGGTGATAGAAAATCGCCCTACTCCAAGCGTAACATACAGGAAATGAGCAAGTGAGTAAAGCGACCAACACACAAAAACCGATTTTTCGTTTCCTGCCCGCCTGCATGCAGAATGTGATTGCACATGTGTAAGTGCGTACACTCAGCGAAACCAGAAGTAGTTGTTCATAAAACTTACATTATTATCTATCAAAAACCTAGAAAAAACTTTTAAAAAAGAGGTGTGGAAAATTATAAAAAAAAATTATATTGAAAACAGTTTGAAATTGTTTTTTTTTTTTTTGTTTGTTGTTCTCTGAGTGTAGGCCCTAATGCTACATAGTTTGTTTGCGGTCAAAAAGTGCACTCATGCAGAATTTTTCCAGGCTCAGGCGAAAAGTTTTCTGCTCCAACTTTTGCACACACTTCCTAACATGTACACCCCTCTATCTGGCACTGTCCCTAACAATCTCTCCTTACCCCATCCTATGGTGCAGCCGCTACAATGACCCACAGCCGCTGGAGCAGCCAAATATAACGAATGCCCATGCCAAAGTGGAGCCCATTATTAAGGAATCGAAATCGAGTCCATTGATGTCATTTCTGGCCAACATGAAGACGGGCACAAAAGTCTTTCAGCACTTTCTATCCAAATCGAATCTGACACGCATTATGGATGATAATGCGTATACGGTTCTAATACCATCGGACAATGCCTTTCAACGTTGGCATCCCATCGATTGGGGCTTCTATCCGTTCAGTGTGCCCGAGTTTACCGAGAGCGTATTACGCAATCACTTCCTGCCCATGCAGCGACCATTGCGTATGTCCGATGTCAAGAATATGGACCAAATGGTCGTTCACACCATGGGCGGCGAGGATGTCATCTTCCACGGACAACGTAGGTCGCACAACAAAACTATACATTTCAATATATTTACATTGTATTCAATTAATATTTAATTTACTTGCCAGCCACGCCCACGGTGAATAACGTGAGCATCATGTCGGATTACACACTCTCCAATGGCAATCAGGTGTTTATCATATCCGAGGTCCTATTTGTCTCCGAGGCTGTGGTTTCCAAATTGCATCAGGTAACAAGCACAAGCACATCCTTCACACTCCCACTACGAGTCTAAGACATAATTTACTCACCGCAGATGCACAAGGATAAGGAGACACCGCCACTTTTGGCCTTTCCCTGGTTCGGTGCACAATTTCTATCGCACTCGTTTCTGGCCTTGGAGCGCGATTCAAGATTTACACAAATTACAAGGTAAGCATTTTTCGAATAGTAATTAGAGAGTACATTTTGCTAGCAGTCAAGCAGAAGAGAATACAAACTATAAACACTCGACTACCCAATACCCTGTATGCAGTAAGGGAAGGAAAAAATATTTACTGAATTAATTGTTAAACTGCAAATATTTGCTTAAAGTTTAGTTCGATAGTAAAAAAGTGACTCAAAAATTGTTAGAATCAAAGACTTTATAGATAACAACAACCATAACTTTTGCTGAACTGATCAGATTTAAAAAAATATATTCTGGCTCCAAAATCCTGTTCGAAATCCACCTTAAAATGTTGCATGATGTGGATCGATATTCATGTTATCATTATAAGTTGCCGAGTATTAATTTAAGCTAAGAATAAATAGATAATTATTATATATAAAGCTGCTTTAAAATGATTATATTTGATCTTCCTGCAGATATTTAAATAATGCAGAAATCGCACCACACATTTCCGGGGCAAATTACACATTCTTTGTGCCCGAAGACAAGGCGTTCGAGAAACTCGGCTTCGACAGGCTATCCGACGATGCAATGGTGGGTTAAAGGCAATCCCAAACCGGTCCATATCACAATAAATACATTGGATTTTTGCAGGCTTCGCAGCGCGGCATTAAAATGCTATTGAATCACTTTGTGCGCGGACGACTCTACAATCGAGATCTGAGGGACAATGAGGTGTTCGAGACGATTGGCGGTGGACATATCAAGATCACCCGTAATCCGGGCAGCAACTATACGAGTGTGAACAATGCACAGATCACGGAGAGCGAGGTGTTTGTCTACAATCTGGGCACCATGTACTACATCGACGACATACTCTATTCACATATGCTGCGCGATCATATCACCAAATCGACCAAAACGAGATCAGATCGAGACCCAACCGGCGGAGGCTATCGCAGCACCCAGCGACCCGATGTCGAGATTGTGCCCAATGAATTCGAGAGTGAACACAACGGCGGCGACTATGCGATCCATGGTGATGATGATGACTTCGAGGATGAGATAATAACGCCCAAAGCATTGCCCGTCCAGATCTATGAGTTGCCCAAGTAGATGATGATGATGATGATGAACAAAACACACATATACAAAAGCAACCAGAGTTTTTTGGAGTTGGAGCAGGAGCAGTTTTTGGGGGGGTCCGCAAACATTTTTTGATATGTGTGGGTTTTTTTGGTCTAGGTGAGTGTGTGAGGGACGCGCTTAAAGCGTTTTTGTATAGTTCTGAGCTAATTTTGTAACGAATTTTTTTTAGTTAGTTATTAGTTTTCTGCGTGTGTACATTTTAAGTTAGCGTTCGAAACGAGGCGGTGAAACGAAGTATACTACAACAACCACAACAAAAGAAATGAAAACAAAAGCAACAAAAAAAAAAAAAGAAAAGAAACAAAAAAACAATGACAAGAAATATATATATATATATAAACCTTATACTAAAGAACTTATCAGCAATTACAGTGAAGCTTGTAGAACAACGTAGCGACAAATTGCAACTAAAATACAAAAAAAAGAAAAAAAACGAAAACTTAGAAAAGTATTTCTGGAAAACAAAAACTTTAATATATATATATAATGCATATTAAAATATGTATTAAATTTAGGCGCTCTTTGAAGGTTAGAGAATGAGACAGCTAGAGAGAATGAGATAGACAGCAGGAGAGAGAGAGACAGAGAGTGCATAGCGAAAAACATATCGGCTAATAAATTTAAACATTATCAGAAATGTAGTAAGCAAAACAAAAAGAAATTAAATTCCAATTCGTCGTAGCCAAGCGCAATAGTTGTGAGCAAGAATCAGATATACTATATATATATATATATATATATGTATATGTATAACTGTAATGAATACGAGTACATTATGACAGACATTGTATTTTTTAGTTTATAATTATTATATTGTATCTGTATCTGTGTATATGAACAAGAAGCAAAAGCAATGAGAACGAAAAACATGCAATTTTATAATAGTTTGTTAAAATAAAAATAAAACCATAAAAAAACAAAAGCCAACAAAACAACAACAACCACAACGAATACTACATCATCATTATTTTTCACATTTACAAAGGAATATATTTTGTTTGTTTTTTCAATTTTATTATGAATTAGTTAAACGCAATACATGTAAGTATGCTTAGGATCTAAATATTTGGAGTATTATTGTATATATGATTTTTGTATGCCTTTTTTTTTTGTATAATTGTTGTATATATGTATATGGTATATATAAGTGTGTATGCATGTAAATAATACCTGATATTCTAATTGACCTAAACGATAGCATTGTATTGGTTGTTTTTCCTTTCATCTCTAATGCTATTTGGGTAATCATTGAGAAACCTAATTTATCCAAAGTGAACAAAGCGCGGCGTGCACTTAACAAATGCCAAAAAATAATAATTAAATCGTACCTCGATGAAACCCACTAATAATTATGTAATAGTTGTAAACAGTTCAAATATTGGGGCAGTGGACTTGTTCGATTTGTTTGTGCCATTTTACAAAAAAAAAATAACACAACATTTTCGTTTTGTATGCGGAACACTTCAAAATTAAATATCAAATGCGTATCGCTTATATTTCTATATAATATAATGTATATATGTATGTATGTACCTAAGTAGTATATATATATATTTATATATATGTGTGTGTGTGTATATTATGTGTGCATGATATGGCGCTTTCGTATTGCGTGTTGCGTTTCCTCAAATATGTTGTTCCATTCTCTCAGATTAAGGATTGACAAACATATACATTCATACATAGCTAAAAGTCTAATCAATATATGTATATATATATATATATTCTAATCAATATTCGAGTACTGCTCGAATCACAATCGTATCAAATTCTACAAGGTAAGACTTCAATGCTTAATATTTAAACTTAAGTTTTCATAGAATTAATTTTCTTTTTGTTATCCTTTTTTTTCGGGCAATTGTAATTTGTTTTTGTTTTTTGTGAGATCTAAAACAGGTTGAAGGAAAATTTTAAACAATATTTATAAACAAAAGAAAAAGGTACAAGTAAAATCGTTAATTTTCAAGTGAACAGATTGGAGTTTGCTAATCATACTTGACATATGTGATTTATATGAATTAATCGTTTGCTTCGTGAGTGTTTGCATTCGTTTGTTGGCTATTTGATGTTGTTGCTGGTGCTGCAGGTGTTGCAGGTGTTGTTGCAGCTGTTGTCGTTGTATCAGTCTCGTTATCACTCAAATTCAAGGGTTCTAACATTTGTTCGGCTTCCGATTCGGGTGCCGCCTGGCCACCGACAGCGCCCTCGAGTTCATCGCACAATTCCACTGTTGGCGCCGGCTGTTTGGGCTTGAAACTATTGTTGTCCGCATTCAGTTCGTAGTTCTTGAAGGGATCAGCCAGCTTGTTGACCGATTGTTGTTGCTGTTGCTGTTGTGGGTTCTGTGCCGCAACGCGTTGCATGCGTCGCTGTTGATTGCTGAACGTGGGACTCTCGGAACGAGCGCGTTGCAGCAGCGGTCGCTGCTGCTGTGAATTGTAGCTGGCATCGTATTCCCTGGAACGTCCAAACTCGAAGCCATTCTGCCACTGGACATGCACATTCTCATAGGAGGGATCCTCATGGCGATAGCTGCCGTTGCTGTTGCTGTTGCCATTCTGACGCTTGTCGGTGCCGCAACGCAAGCGACTCAAATTGCTGTGAAGCGGTCGCGTTGCGGCATTCATATCGCGTCGCATGCTGCTCGTGCTGCCCTGGTACCGCATCATGTCCTGCGGCAGCGCACCGATACCCAGTCGTGGTGTGCCATAAGGATTCGACATTTGCGAGGCCACCGAAGCCGTGTCACAGCTAACGCAATCGCGCGAGAACATAAAATTGAAGTCAATTACCTGCAGAGGAAGAAGCAGAGAGAATAGTTTAAAAATTGAGTATTAACAAATGAAGAATAATCTGATACCAATAAGTAATAACAGCTGATAACAGTTGGCATAGAACAGGTTGAGTCTGGCCAAGAAATGGCGAAGAAATCTTTAAAATAGTTTCCTATAAATCAATTTTCAATTTAATAATATTTCCAAGTTTAGCTTTAAAATTGAGGAGGTTTGAAAATAGATTCTCTTATCAATCTTTGGAGGAGGTTCCTAAAAATCTGCATTACAAATCCAATAACTTTTGCTGTTAAATTGCTGGAGTTACAGGTTTTTGACGATTCTTTATCCGACTTTTGAAGAGTGTTACTAGCCACAAATCTTTCGAATTTGTTGACTTATGCTTTTATCGATTAACTATAGCCATAGTCAGCTATATCGTTTTTGGGAGCAGGTTTTATTATTAAATGCCCATCTTTAAAGCAGGCTGCCAGCAAGCTAAACTCCAAGTTTGGTAAAGCTATCTTTAAGTTAAGCATTCTTATCGATTTGCGATTAACGATTTAATCGATTAATACAGATGAATAACTGCTGCTCACCTTGCACTCGGGTCCCTGGCCAATCCACAGTGGCAGCCACTTGTTCACCAGGAGCCACTGCAAACTGGACTTGGAGATGCGATTCAAGGTGCCATTGTTGCTGCCATCCGACGAGGAACTGCTACGCGTTGCAGCAGCAGCAGCAGTTGTTGTTGTTGTTGTGGTTGTCTTCTTGGCCAGCGTTGAGCTTTTGCTGGCTGCACCACTCGCTGTGCTGCGCTCCTTCTCCGCACCACTCTGTGTTGTGGCCGCAGCTGTTGTTGCTGCAGCTGCACTCGTCTCCTTGGCAGCTTTGTTGGCACTTTTTATTTTTGGTATGGCGCCCGTTGGCCGTATCAAAACCGGCGACAAGCTGTCCAAATTAACCAGCTGCTCCTCGGTGGCAGTTGCTGCAATGGCCACAGTCGCTGGTCCCGCGGAAGCGGAGCGTGCTGCCCGCTCCATGGACACATTGGGCGTGAGTGGTGAACAGTGATGCGCTGCTGCCACAGCAGCTGCTGTCGTCTTATAGATGTTTGTCATGCTCTGGGAATTCTCGCCGTGCAGGCAACTGAAGAAGGAGCTGGCGCTATTTTTGACGGGCACTTTCACATTGCCATAATCCATGCAGCCAGCGGCGGCGGCGGCAGCTGCAGCAGCAGCGGCAGCAGCACCACCACCACCACTTGCAGCCGCAGCATTTAAGCCATTGCCACCACCACCAGCCACATAACCCTGACAATTGGGCACCGTACAGCTGCTGGCATTAGTTGCCGCCGCCGCCGCTGCGCCACCATTGGCATTGAGACGTATGTGCCCCACCGTGCCAAAGTGCGAGTGGCCCAGCACCGCATAGTGTCCGCCCAGATTGTAGTGATCGATGTTGCCACACGACGAACTCAAGTGCCGCTCAATGCGTCCAATGCCATGGCCGAGCACGTCGAGGCGCGTATAAAGCGGCACACGACTCGCTGCACCGCCAGCTGCTGTTGTGGTGCTGGTGCCGTTGCTGGTGCGATAGAGTGGCTCATCGCGTATCTGTTCGTAGATATTCTCATATCGCATTGTGCCAGCACTGCTCGTCCCAGCTGCATATGGCAGATTGTAGCCATCGGTGGATTCGGTGTCGTCGAAGCTGCGCTGACGCTGGCAATTCGAGCGGTTGCCGGAGTAGAGTGGTGCACAGCGCAAACCACTGCCATAACGGTTCGCTGCGGAGCAGGAGAAAGTGAAAGAAGTGTGTTAAAAATGGATAAGAGAATGGCAATTGTAAGGCATTGCTGAGCTTAGTTCTAGATAGAATTTAGCAGTCTTTAATTCCAGCGAAAAACTTGATAAATTCGTAGATTGAGCAATTTTCTTATACAAGTTTCTACTTTTTTAAAAGATTATTTAACTACGTCTAATAACATATAATAGTTAATATAATAAATCAAATCGCTGGTGCACAAAATATGCTTAATATCTTTTAAATCATACACAGAAGAAAATGGTTTAAGTTAAGTTAATTAAAACCTTTCTTAATATCAATAAAATGATTATTTGTTTTGTTCATACTATTAATAAAAATAGTTTCTTTATAGTTATTTCTAATCTTGATAAAGTAGCAGGTTTATTATCCAATATATATTATATATTGATAAGAATTTCATTTTCAAGTTAATACAATCGACAATCTGACATTCAATTGTAGAAATATAGCCTTTCAATTAATATATTATAGACCCATAAATATTTATTGATAACCGGTTCAAATTTCATTGAGATCGCCTAAGAAGCTTCGATTTTGTTAACCATATTGAAAAACCATTATCAGCAAGTCTATTTATTTTACAGCTCGGTTCAGGAAATCTTTTAGTCGAGTAATTTCAACTTTGAATAGCATTTTAGTATGATTATTAAAAGCACGTGCGGGTTTGAAGATCGAAATGAGCGATTACGTGACATATCATAAAATGAAGCGGCTTCATAAAAGCATACTTAACAGCAAACCCATTATATATTTTAAGATCTTCTTTAAGGTCATCCAGCAGAGCAGAAAGTCGGATGCACAGCTATAAAAACTTGGCTGTTATTGTCACATTGACTTTTGAATGTTATACAAACTTGCTAAAATCGAAATGTGATAAAAACAAAAGTGAGAAGAGCTTAAAGAGCTATCTTAAGCACACCGAACTCTGATATGCTCTTGCAGACCTAAATTGCATTCGATCGATTTCTCCATTGAACGTTATATGATATGGTTAGCCGACATTAGTTATTTGTAAGTTTGCTTCTGCATAACTTGCTAAACAAAATGGTTTCGTATACAAGAAGTCATCTTTCGAACGATAATTCATTTGAAAACTATATGTTGGCAGCTATATGCTATAGTGATCTGATAAAGCCAACAGAGATATGAAAACTGCCTACGAGATATCTCTAAAACTGGTGGAGTTCTGCTAATGAGAACAGATGAACATGGCAAAATCGATTTGGCTATGAAATTTATATACACTTTATGGGTTCATAGAGATCTGCAGTAGATTACAAACTTATATAACCCTCTCACAATGTTTTATGGCTACAGGAATAATATATCCCACATTGTATTCAAAATTAGTTATGCTTCTCCAATTTATCGCTTCTTCAAGGTGCTTAGCACTTGGCATATCTATGCGAAAATATTGATGGCTACAGGAATAGTATATCCTATATACATTTATAGAGATAAATTTATACACTTCTTCGCTATTTCAAGGTGCTTACCATTTTGCATATCTATGCGAAAATTGCGACGATAGCCCAAACCAGAGCGCACCGCTCGTGGCACATCGTAGGCAGCTGTTGTTGTGGTTGCTGAGCGATCATACAAATCATTGCGATAATTATTCATGGGCAGCATTCGAGCTGGTTGTGGTTGTTGTTGTTGTGGTTGTTGCTGATTGCTGTTGGCATTGGCTTCAGTTGCTGCTGGCTGCTGCTGCTGCTGCTGCTGTTGCTGTTGCTGTTGTGGTTGTTGAGCTGTTTCTTCAACATTCGCAGGGGCATTGGCATTGGCATTGACGACGACAGCAACTTGTTGGTTATTATTAATATTATTATTGTTGTTGTTGTTGTTGTTGCTGGGCTGTCCAATTGGCGCATAGATGTTCTCATAGTGCGGATGATTAGCTGGCTGCTGCTGCTGTTGTGCCGGCGTTGGCGGTGCAACAATATTGCCATAGACAGCACCACCAACGGCGCCCTCCATGCTGCCCTCCGCCTGGCTATTCTCATCATCCAACAGCGCTATGGCCAGCGAAGCCGCTTGCCTAAAACAAAAGCAGCAATATTAATTAAAAGTAACTTTTACTTTTAGTCATAGTTTTTGAGCAGTTACCTTGCCAATGCGCCCTGCTCTTCCATTCACAAGGGCTTGTCTATCATACAGACGCCCGCGTAACTGCGTCCGATGGTCATCAGCGCCGGCAATATGCGCCAGCTATCCGAATCGGGGCAATAGACCTCCACCGATGCCAGATTGGAGGTGCCATCGTCACCACCGACCACATAGAGTAGGCCATCGTGTGCCACAACGCCCGCATTGCGCCGGCAATAGGACATGTCAGCGACGGATCGCCATTTGTTCGCCTCGTAGTCGTAGGCCTCGACAGATTTGCGCACCATTGGCCCGTCGTGTCCGCCCACCGCGTATAGAATATTATTGAGGACACCAACTCCGGCGCCGCTGCGACGTGAAGTCATTTCGGCCACAACGGACCATGTGTCTGTGTCGGGATTGTAGCGTTCGACGGAGGATAGGCATTGACGGGAGAAGCCATCGTAGCCGCCAACGGCATAGAGCAGGCCATTGACCACGCCTACACCGACCGAACTGCGACGCGTCGACATGGAGGCAATGAAACGCCAGATTTCAGTCTTTGGATCATACATCTCGGCGCTGCAGAGGCCGGTGGTGCCATCGAAGCCACCCACAGCATAAATGCAGCCATGCAGCACTGCCACACCGAGTGTGGAGCGACGTGCCTCCATATTGCTGCAATTCGCCCATTGATCCGTTGCCGGATCATACACATCGACGGTGCGGACACGCAGCGATCCATTGAAGCCACCCACAGCATAAACCTTGTCGCCCAGCACCGATAAACCGCTGCGACAACGACGATTTGGCATCTCCGCGGCCTGATACCATTTCTCCTCGCGCAAATCATACCATTCCACGGAGCGTATTGCCTTCGGCGCCTGCCCGCCAATGACGAGCAGAATCTTGGGCATGCCGACCGGTTTGCGGGGCACAGTGCGTGCGGATTTGGTCTCGGTGGGCAGCAGATGATAGGTGAGCGCTTCAATTATTAGATTCTTGCACATAATATTGCCCTCGAGCAGCAGTTCCTTGTCGACACGCTGTGTGATGTACTCCTTGGAGAGGAAGGGCAGACGCACATGCTCCATGAGAGCCGAGGTGAACTGTTCACGCATTGGCACATCGTAGCGCAGCCAGCCGATGACGCATTCGTAGACACGCTCCTCATTTGGCACCGAGATCCGATCGTTGGCTATCAAATTGATGATTTGTTCGTGTGTCAGATTCAGAAACTCGTCAAACTGAATGACCTCGCTGTGTGTGTGATGTGTGTGTGTGTGTGTGATGTGTGTGTGTGTGAGAGAGAGAGAGGGAAAACCAGTTAACGAATTTGTCATAAATTGTGCTAAATTTGATGACTAACAAGTTGAATGATCTAATTTCTATGCAGATGAGCGCGAAGCTGATCAAGTTCTGTTCTCCGTTTTTATGCAGATGAACCGTTAGCTCAAGATCTAAGCGATATTATGTTAATATATAAATAACTGTATTATATTAGACGTAGGAGAGATATGCTGTATAGACGGGTTTTGACCGATGACAGCTATAATTATATTTAAGCAGAGCTCTGACAGATTCCTGGCCTGGACATTAGTTCATAAGAGAACTGATCAAGATTCTATATAGTTTATAGCTTATATATTTTTTATAATTTCTATTTCAAATTCTATATTTTAAATTTGATATTTTATACTTTATAGTTTATGCTTAGCAATTTATATTTTATATTTCTAGAGTAACTATATATTTTTCAGTATGGATTGATTGCCCAAGGAGACTGATCAAGCATCTATATAATTTATATAATTATAGCATCTACATAAGTTAACATTGATTGTTTGATTGATTGTCCAAAATGGATGAGAGATAAGTTCACAGATGAACTGAATCAAGCATCGATATACATTATACCATCAACAAATGATTAGCAAATAACTAGAATTAACTTATATCAATATTTTATATGTTTACATCACAATTAATTGTTTAATTATACGCAATAACTGAGAGATTAGTTCGCAGAAGCATCTACAAAGTCATAAAAATAAAGATGATTAACACAATCGAATTAAATGTGTACAAATATGTCTACAGCACAATTGATTGATTGATTGATCAGCCAAGGTAGCTGGCAGATTTGTTAACAAACTGATCAACAAGCCATAAAGTAACATCTACAAATGCACAACAAAAATGATAACTAGAAATGAGTTTGAATTTAATATGTATAGATATGTTTACAACATAATTGATTGATAGATTCATTGATTGATTTCAGCTTGTTGGATGTTGTTGGATGATCAACTCACTTGAAATGTTGCTCAATGTAGGTCTCCGCATAGTTGAGCAACTCGACGCAGCCATGCAGATCGGCAAATTCGCGTATGCCCAAACAATTGCTGGCATCCAACTGAGTCTGCAGGAAATCACAGCAAGCATCCCGCACATCCGTCAGCTGGAGCAGATTGGCCGCTGTCAGCAGGACCTGCACATTGTCCTCGTTCACCTCGACGGTCGATGTGTACACATAGTCGATGAGCAGCTCGAGAGCACGTGCGTCCACACTCTGCAGCGTGATGCGCGCCTTGCGCGACTCCTCGAAGCTGGTGAACATCGCATAGAAGTACGGACTGCAGCTGGCTAACACCATGCGATGGGCATGGATCTCCACATCGTCGGCAACCAGAATGACATCACAGAGCAGCTTTTGTCTAAGAATCGTATATATGGTAAATGATTAGTAATTGTTGAGTTAGGTCAGCAAATCAAATAAAATCTTCGCCATTCAGCTAGACACATTCCTAGTTATAAATAAAATATATATAAGCTTGAAAAGCAAAGTAATATATTTATACGCTTTTAGATATAATTCCCTTTACGTTTTTCAGTGTTTTGACTATAAAATAAAAAACAAATAGAATAGAGAATAGAATTGAATATATGCTTAGTAATTGTTGAGTAAGGTCAGCTAATAAATTCTTAGCTATTTAGCTAGACACATTCCTAAGCACAGTGAGGCAAATTTCAATTAAAAAAATACATATAAAATAAATACAAATATTAAAATAATCAATATATATCAATGAGAATCAAAGACGTATTAGCAAAAAGAAAAATAAATCAAATGGTTTCCAATTTTACATTTAATTTATTTTACACTTGAGTTTTGAATTTCCAAGTCAAATAAAAATAAAGCTAGACTAGAAAGTAACCTGAACTCAGCTTTTAAATATATAGAAGGTTTGTTCACTATGAAAATACATAAGGTAAATCTGTGTTTCTTAATAAAAATAATAATAATAATATGAACAGCTGATCAAATACATATGTCAGCAGAAATTGTATATAAATTGGAAGACTGTGTTCTTGTGCATTTTTCCTACTGATTTGAATCGATCTTGTTTTGATCTTCTATTTAACATTTTAAGTTATGATCGACTCATCTACTATTAATCAATTATATATATGTATTCTATGGAATCAGAAATACTTCCTACTGCCTGCTATATATTTAATTCTATTTCATCAAACCCAATTCCTCCATTTGAAATGGATTCAGGTTATAGAAAATAATATAATAATTGACGCGAGTGGAAAATTATTTGATTGCATAATCAACAGTCAAAGGCATTCTTGAATTGCATTTCGATGGGCTGCTTTAATTATACAGCATATTTATTGATTAACAAACCAAATTTTGATAGAAATTTAAACAAGTTGCGCAGGCCTATTTAAAATTCGTTACAGGTAAAAACCTATTCAGTCTTTGGACCAAGAGCTCGTTTAGGGCATTGGCTTACAACAATAACAACAACAACCAAGAAACGAGTTTGCTGCGAGAAGAAAAATAAACAAAAAATTTCCATTAAGGTAGTTTTCCCCCCATTTATGCGACAACTAATCAAGTTGCCCCCACGGAAGTGGGAAGCATTTCGAATTTATGAAAAAACATATATAAATAAAATTAACAAACCAGAGCGATTTGAAGTTCAAGGCCAATATTATTTAACTAAACGCTAATAAGCAAAACAAAATGAAAAATAGAAAAAATATTAAAAAAAAGAAAAAACACAAAAATATCAAAGTCGAAAATGAATGCGAATGGCCTCTGGACAAAAAGCGAATAAATCAGGTATGCGAATATGAATGTATATAAAATATTGTTTGTAGACAGACTTATCTGCAAAAAGTTGAAGGGGGCCAAAACCGACAAACAGGCAAACAAAGCGTAATGCGCAAATTATGCGAGAGAATGCGCCGCAGATCAGCAAATATATACACACATATATATATATATATATATATATATACTCATACATATATATAGTCATTAATATGTACACATTGTTGACCGTTTTTAGCCCATCATAAGTATTTTTTCATATTTTTGCCAAGACCAAAATAAACAAATCTTAAGCGACGTCATATTTTTGAAGTATGCCCATTAAAAATGGCATGCAAAAGGGGTATATATGTGCTAATTATATAACTGACGAATGCTGAATACAAATTAGTGTCTAGTTTGATTAGCATTTTGCATTAATCAGCTATATCCATTTATACGCATAATTTGAGCTGAATTAAAGTTTGCAAGTCACTTTATAGGCATTTATAGGGTATCTGTTAGTTAATCACATTGCTGCTATTCTACTAGCCTGCATATTTACAGGACTTTTGACTAGTACATATAATCATTGCGCTGATCTTATCGAAATAATACTCTATATAATCATTTACAGGATATCTTATGGTCGATGACACTTTTACAACTCTTATTCTTACACATATACCGATTACCTGACATTTATTATTCTCATCTATGATCTAAGAATGCATATGGACATTGATATACAAATGTGATTAAACAATATGCCTTTTTACAGGGTATTCACTGGTCCATTACACTTGTAATACTCTTCTATGATCACCTTACAAGGTATTCAACATGTGCAACTGCACATTAGTAAACACTGCATATAAACCTTTTTACAGGGTATTCACTGGTCAACAAACTTTTACTACTTTATCCCCACAATACTCAGCTGTATTCAAAAAACACTTTACAGGGTATTATACACGTGCAACTGCATATTGATAACCACTCTAGTTTGACCTATTTACTGGGTATTTGCTGTGCGATCACACTTTCGTAACTCTTATTCCAATACTACCCATCAATTATCAATCACTTTACAGGATATTAAACATTGACAAACACTGCTGCCACTATCAACCCATTTTACAGGGTATTTTGCTAGCCGAGCACTCTGTCGTCTGTCTCTTTCTTACTTGCGCATCTCGTTCATTGCGTCGAAGGATCTCGCCGTGTGCTGCTCGTTGTTGTATTGCCCCACGGTGCCGCGCTCCTTGCCGTTGGGTCGCTGGATGTGTTTCTGCGAGGATTCGTCTAAACTGTTTTGGCTCGCATAGCGCAGCAGGCAGCTGCCCCTCTCCAAGCCGCTGCCCTCTGCGGCAGGATTTTGTGGCTGCTGCTGCTGCTGTGGGCGTTGTGGCAAGGCCCAAACGACGACGCCGCGGGCGGATGCTGGGGCAGGGGCGGGGGCGGGCATTGCAGCTGGTGGCTCTATCAATAATGGTACCACCGCCGCCGCCGCTTCACCGTTATTCTGTTGTTGTTGCTGCTGCTGCTGTTGTTGTTGTTGTTGATTCTGCTGCAAGTTGCCATTGCTTAAATTGCTCATAATACCGATTGTGTATTTGGTTAGTAAAGCAGTCAACGCTATCATTCACTTCACGTCCAAGCCGAATGTAGCCAACAAATACAAAATTTGTTAATTTCTTGTTTTATTTTTTATTTTTTTTGGAGCAACTCCGCAAGTTACAACTTGAAAATATCGACTCTGTCTAATAACTGATGGGGGAGAAAAAAAATACCATATGATTGTTGGCATCAATAGTTTAACAGCTGTTAATTAACATTATGCAGTTAACAGTTTTGGTTGTGGTGTGCAAGAATGTAAGATATATGTTTCATGGGCAGATCGCGCTGAATTTAAAAGAAAATCACTTGAACATAGTCATGTATATTTATATAATCATTTAAATTTAGTTAAACAGTTGTAATCGGAATGCTCACACTTGCGAATATAACATTTACATAGCTGTTAAGTAAGTGTTCAAATTGTGGCGGTCTGGCAATAGATTTGTCGCTGCTAACAGCATGTGTTTGGTACAAATGTACCAAAGAAAGTACTTTAGTTATTTGAAGCTACGAGATTACTAAATACATATATGGTTTCAATATTGAAAATAACAATGCATTTAGAATATTCTCTTTATCATTTTCATTTAAAACAGAACGAAAAGTATGCATTTGTGAGTGAGACTTCCTCTAGAAGATAACATTTAATATTATGCGCGCTCACATTTGAGTTTAACATTAGCTCACTTAACAGAAAAAATACTAACCGCATCAGAGGTGGCAACGCTATTGCATATCGATATACATCAACTAGTTATCGATACGTGCATCATATTTTTTTTTAGGGCGGTGTTCGCATTTTGTTTTCATGAGTATTATTTGCTGTTGCTAACAAATTTGTTTATATTAATAAATATAAAAGCATCAATAATAAAAATGAAAGCATTTGAGAATAGGCTCGTGGCCGTCGTGCTGCTCTGTTGTGCGCTGCAAACAGGTAAGTCGCGCGCACCTGCGTAGTAAACGATAAGAAGTAAACAAAAAATTGTTTTTTTTTTCTTTCTTTTCCGTCGCGTGATTTTATTTTAGCTTATGGCATTAAATGCTGGGACTGTCGCTCTGATAACGATCCAAAGTGTGGTGATCCCTTCGATAACAGCACATTGGCCATAACAGACTGTCAGCAAGCACCGGAACTGGATCACTTGCGGGGCGTGCGACCGACAATGTGCCGTAAGATCCGGCAGAAGGTGCATGGGGAATGGCGTTATTTCCGTAGCTGCGCTTATATGGGCGAACCGGGCATCGAGGGGGACGAACGCTTCTGCCTGATGCGCACTGGAAGCTATAACATATTCATGGAGTTTTGCACCTGCAACAGCAAAGACGGCTGCAACGGGGCGGGGCTGCAAAAATCAAATTTACTCGCTGTTCTCTTTGGTACATTTTCCGTTGGAGCTGTCGCCCATTTCCTTAGGCATTAACAGCGATTTTCTCTGTTATTTTTCATGTGCCTTCAAATCGTAGCTCAAAAAGACAAAAAATAACAACTTATACACTTATATGCATAAGTATTCTTATATATCTCTCTCTCAGCGCTGACATTCCGTCCGAATTTTCGTCGAAATCTCATCTCTTTTTGACAGATTTGTGTTCAGTTTGGAATTTAGCTTTAGAAACGGTAGACTTACAGTTTTTATTGTAATGCAAAAAAAAATTAGTACATTTTTACAACCGAATAAACGATTTGAATAAAAAAATATATATATGATGTATTTTGATATTCATTTATATTGTATTTAGAAATGTTTTCATCCAAGAGAAGCTATTCTCTGCCTCATTTTCAAAACTTATTGACGCCCTTTTATGCAATATTTAATTTTAACTTTTTTCATTAAATAATTATAACAGTTGTAGATAAATATGAATATGTAATGGAGAAGAGTTAAAAAAAAAACAAAATTAAGCATTTAATTCTATTGTTTGCAGATGACAATAAATTAAATTATTTTAATTGCTTTGTTATGCATAATAGCGAGTCAAAGTATCGATTCTTTTACTGCAGGTGCATTTAAATAAACATTAATATACGCAATTAAATAAATTATATTAACTTTAGAACAACTTTTAAAAACCAATCTTAATTTAAAATTGTATATATATATTCCAATAATTGAATACTACTTTTAGTAGGTGACAATACTTAATGCATTTCTACTCGTTACTCATTCAAACGATACTCCTGAAGACGATTTTTTTCCGGGTCTTCGCCAATTCCTTTCGTTGCTCTCTTCCCATGTGCTCGCTTTTAGTTTTTTCGTTTTAATGTGTCTTCAAATGTTATTTAAAGTTCTAAAAGTGGTGTAAAAGATTGTTTAGTGGATTGGACATTGTCCGTTTGTCGATAACATTCTGTATGCTTGCATTTTAATACGTCAATTTGTGTTTTTCGCAATTTTTTGTAAATTAAAAAGTGCCGTTACTTGGAAAAGTCGGTCTTGCCACACAACTGTTCGCAGTCTTTATGTTGTACTCAGATTTTAAATAATTAATAAATTAACCCACGGAAATGGATAAGAATTTGATGGATTTTTACAATGTTTTCAAAAGCGATCTGTTGAGTAATTGTGATCTGTCAATATATATGAGGTAAGTTTTCTACTTTTGCACTTTTATTATTTTTGTTACTAGCAGCTGCAGTTTATTTAAAACCTATAATTTTTACAACGAATGAATGAACGATTTATATAAAATGAATTTTGTTATACGTGTATCCTAAAAAATGTTTTTAAAATTGTTGTTTTTCAATAAGTTTATTAGATATCCTGAGAATTTTACAATTGAAAATGCAATTATTTTTCAATTTTACAATTATATAATTCATATTTACCTTCTCTTATACATTCATTCAAACGTATATACAACGTACATGCATACATAAAGCCATACAATATGTAATAAAAAAAATTGGCGAATGAGACCATAAATAGGAATGTGTGGACTAATTTCCCAATGCATATCGAGTCCAAGTATCGATACTTTTGTTGCAAGTGCATTTAAATATATTATGAACGATAAAGCACTTTAAACTTTACCCCAACTTTTAAAAACCAATGTTAATTTAAAATTGTGCCTTAAAAACTTTTTTTTTATTCCACAAAACGAAAATCAAATAATTTTTTTGTATTCACCATTCTTACTGCATTTCTACTCGTTACTCATTCCAAGCAATACTCGTAAAGAGGATTTTTTTCGGCTCTTTGCAAATTTCTTTCGTTGCTCTCTTCCCGTGTCTTCGTTTGTAATTTGTGTTTCAATATGTCTTCGAAGGCTTTTAAAGTCTGAACAGTTATGTAAAAGATTGTTTAATGTATTGGCCATTGTCTGTTTGTCGAGAATATTTTATCTGCTTGCATTTTAATACGTGAATTTGTGTGCTTTATCTTGTGATTCGACTTACGGTGCCGTTACTTGACAGATTCGGTGTTGCCATACAACCATTTTTTTTTTTGCATGCACGTGTCTAGGCAAACACACACATTCATATTGGTTTGTGCTTAGCTTTTTTGTGTGCTTATATGATAATTAAATAATAAATCAAATCACCGGGGAAAATGGATAAATACTGGATGCATTTGTACAATGATTCTAAAAGCGACGTGATGGAAAATTATGACTTGCCCATATATCTAAAGTAAGCTTAACAATTTTTTTCATTTTGTTAAACATTTATTATTTTTGGACTTTATTTAAAACCAATAATTTTTACATATCTTTAAATTTGTACACGATTGACTTTATATTTTTTGTTTTCTTTTTATATATATTTATATTTAAAATGCTCAGGCGGCTTACAGCGCCATCTGCAGGACGAAGAATGCGAGCAGAGAGGCTGCACTAAACGCCACATAGCGGCCAGCGCCGCTGGCATTGCACAGGTCTCCCTTGCAAGTGAAACAAGTCTCCACTTGGCGGCTGTGCGTCACTGTGCACTCGTTGTCCTTCTGTCCAACCACCTCAAAGTGACAGTCACGGGATACGATGACACCGGCGCGATCTGTGTGTTGAGAAAGCGTAAGAAAGAAGAAGAGTTGAGTTTAGTTTTCTATAGTTTGATAAATCAAGGTTTCCGAGCTTGAAATGTACATATATATAACATGTGGAGCAGACAGACAGCTAGAGTTCTGTGTGCTAAAAGTAGCGAGTATCACTTCAACGAGTACATGGGGCTTTTCCGTGCCTTTTTGGTTTTATTTTGCATTGTTTGTTGCTAAAGGTAATTAGTCAAACGATTTTATGGATTGCTGAATTATTTTAAACGTTGCTGCTAAAAGTAGCGAGACTATAACTGAAATAAAAATGTTATTTTGCACATACAAAAATGAAAAAATCGAGAAAGTGTTAATTATATTAATCGATTGAATATGTTTAAAAGCAAATAAATATGATAATTAATGATTTTAATTTTTTTCATTTAAGGTAGATCCAGTTTCACTGCGACGATTGAAAATAAAGTTGAATTGCAGATCTTAAATGTTTCTTTTTTTCGAATTTGTTTACATATTTGACTTCTATTTTAAACAAATATTTTTATTTTTAACAATGCATCATCATAAAATTCCTTATACATGTCCAAATGGATTTGATTCAATTGTTTTTCAAACAGTTTGTTGATTTTAATTCGATTTTGTTATTTTCCTTTTGTCTTGCCAAATGTTTAACCCACGCAAAGCTTTATTTCTATCGTTCGAAATAACAAAAAGAAAAAAAGCTCGAAGCTCGTCAAATTGCGTTACTTTTGAGCATTTTTGGAATCGTTTTTTATTATACAATATGCTAATTGGGTTTGGCCTCCTCTACAAGTTACGGCGTCTACGCAATGACATCATTAAGACTCGTAAATGCTCGCAATATTCGTAATTTATTTATATTCGTTTAAGGTGTATGCAAAACATGCTCAATGGGGGTGGCGGAGGGGGTTGTGTAATTGCTGTCACTTACCACTGGTGACGACCTTGTTGCACCTGGTCACCGGCTGCAATTGATCCATGGTATTCGGCTTGGGCATCGTGTCGCAATCCACCTGACGAATATTCGAATTGGCATCCAATTTGTCCTTGCTGCAATTGGGATCCGTCAGCGATTTGCACTGATAGCATTTGATGGCCGTTGCTACAGAAGAGAGCAGATATATGAGAGAGATAAGTGATAGATAAGTGTTGAATGAGTGAGCAGATCAAAGTTTCATTTGAAATGCGAAGTTCACTCGGGCTTACAACCAGTTTAAACTTAGCTCGCCTTATTATGTAACGCCCTCAGCTCGACACAGTTTTCAATTAGATATCTCCCTATATACACATTTATTTATGTATATATATTTATATATATATGTGACAAGGTATTTGCCTATATTTGCTTTTGCTATGAAGTCAGCTTTGAATCTACAATCGTCTTTGTTTTGGTACCAAATACGTGCTAAGCAACAAATGGGAATTTTTGTGCGTTCCTTATAGATTAAGAGGGTATGATGACGTTGTGCAACAGTATCTACTAGACAGCAGAAAGCACAACGTATATATGTTCTCGATCAGCATAAGCAGGTCAGTCGACTTAGACGTGTTTGCCTCTCCGTCTGTATGAATGGTTTATAAAAGTTAGATACTTAAAATTTGGAATATAAGTCTAATATACCCTACACAGATCCACTTATCAATAGCCGCTGTTTCGCGACTATCGATAAAAATCGATTTTCGACATCAATAAATTATCAACTGAAAATTTATATAATTATATGAAATATAAATTTTGCTAACTACTATCAGCAAGTTTAAAGCTATGTACAGGGTATCTACTAGTCAAACAGTGTTGATTACAGCTTTGTAACTTTTTTATAGTTGTGTTTGTGTGAATTTTTGCATATTTTTATTAGTCTATTAGTTTTATATTAGCATTTACGATTAGTCCTAAGATCGATTAAGAATACTAGAATTTTTGTTATATTTTATATATAAACTTGTTGAAAGTCTTTTAATTATTAGCATTTTAAGCAATTTCCAGAAACTATTGGACTAATTTTTTATTTGAAATAATTAGAAATTATAAAAACTTGCAGCATTTGTCTGGTATTTTTCCATTATTTTTTAAATGTGGTTGCTGATTGGAATTTCAATCTTCTGCGTGAACAAATCTTATTTTGCCATTTAGATGCAGCTTTAAAAATTCAAACCGGTTTCACTCTATTTTTTCTTCATATTTGTTGACCCATTTGAATTTGAATACAAATTGAAATCAGCAATAAAACTTACCACTGTGCATGATGCACATGGCAATTAGAAAACAGGCGAACATCTGTTGCAGCATTTTCACACAAATAATATTTTGAATATATTTCTTTTAGTTGGTTTTTTTCAAAAACACAGAGTCAACACTCAGAACTCAAAACTCGTAAATGTTTTAAACGCTTTGGCAGTCGTCGAACAACTGAATGCGCATTTTGAGTTTGGCATTTTACATTTCGTTTTTCGTATTTTTTATTTGTTTGTCGGTTTCACCCCTCCCCCCACAAAACCTCGGCCGCCCACTGGTACAACACTCAACTCAACACGGTTTGAGTGCAAAGCGCAAAAGCTTTTTGCTTTCGTAAATTGTTTAAATAAATTTGAGTTGAACTCAAAACGAGTTCAGCGCCAAAAACAAGAAGAAGAAGGGCAGAGAAACAATCAAAAAAACTATTTTGTTTTGATCGCAAGATTCGCTTTACGACGCGAATGTCTTTGGGTGTGTATTCCCTCTGTGTGTGTGTGTGTGTGTATGCGTGTGTGTGTGTGTGAATTTGGCTTGGTTTTTCTTTCATTTTATTTATTGTAATCGAATTTAATTGCAAGCTGGCACAGTTTTTCAGCCAGTTTGTCACTCTTATTTTATTGAGTGAGCTTTAATACCCTGCATTAGTGTCTAAGCGGGCATGATAGAGTCACAAATTGTTGTAAACAATTGTTATTTGATATAAATTCTTGATCAACAACAATACCTGTGAAGATTTAGCCTGTCTCTTTGTATGAAGGTGCTGAAATCTGAGACTTCAAGAACTAGAGACTTACAAGTTCATGTTTCTAAATTATCATGAATATGCTTTGACATAATATTGATCAGTTATACAAATTTAATTTATTAATTTCGAGAAAGATCGCGTAAAATCGTAGTTTAATATTTATCAGCGGGAACAGTGCTGAGCATCTCCAACTCAAGTATTCTTACTTATTTTAGTTCAAATTCACATTGTACAATTTTCTGTCAGAATTTATTTGATGTGCTTGTCTGTTATTGATAAATATTCAATCTTAAATCTGAAATCTGTTTCTCCCTATCTGGAATGGGTTATTGTGAGTGTGTGTGAGCGGTTCATATATATATATATATATATATTGCTTTGCCTTGTCTGGCCTCCTCTCTCCTTCCTCGTCACAGTGTTTGCCATTTATTGAGCATGATACTTGAGCCATAATCGACTACCCTGTAATCTTGGCAGTCTTGTCTGTTGCCTTGGTGACCGCTTGCCTTGCCTTGCTCTGACTGCCACTTGGGGCAATTGGGCGCAATGAGCAGCAGCAGCAGCTCAGACAGCATTGACTACAAATCCTTAAAAAGGAAACCTCTTTTCGTAAAAGCTGTAAAAAGGCTAAGAAATATTTGTGCCTCATGCCACATTGCATTTGTTTTGCTGCTCCTTGGTTATCAATCAGTCAAAAGTACACTGGCCAAGAAAGTCTCTCATCTTGATTTTAAGAATGTGAAGATAATTTAATTATATTTTTTTCAATGCTTTGTTATTTATTATGAAAATCATTCGATGAGTTCAGAAATTACAGCTTGAAGTCAAACATTCTCTTTTTGGATTCTTGCCCATATTTTTTGCAAGTGTAAAGTTGTAACACGGGTTATAAAGTCGAGAGTTTGTAATCAAAGACAATTCAGAGTTGATGTGTATCTTTTTCAGTCAACTAACTCACAAATTGACTCTTTACATTTAAAGATCCATGGAAATCTACTGAACTTTTATTTTTTCTCACAACCAAAAGCAAATTAAAGCAAACTTTACACGCCATAAAGATTAAATTCCCTTTGAAATCACTCTCTATATCTCTGTCTCTCTCTCTCTCTGCCCACTTGTTGGATAAGCTTTGCTTCAGCTTTGAGTTTGAGTCGCTTTGTGAGCGATTGCAGCGAACTCGTTTCAATTACGCAGCAACTCAAAAAGCTTCGCTTTGAAGTGATCTCCAAGCATATAAGAACAAACAGTGCGGTTGAGAAAAATAGCACCATATTTGCAATTTATCTTTGTTTGAGGAGTTTTTTGTACAATTAAATATGATGATAATCATGGAAGGAAAGGTTTGTTCTTGATTTTTTTCATCTATCAGAACATTTTTGCATAGAATAGTGTTCATAGAATCGATGTTAATCCATGAGAGTTTAAAGATTATTAAAAAATTAACCGGAATCACTTAATAATGGGAAAATGAAGCTCCGACAACAGAAAACACTTTTCAAACTCTGATTTCATAATATTTATATATTTGATAATTGACTGATAATATTGCTTCTCTTTTGCAGCTTTGCATATAGAGTATTAGGGTTGCTGTTGCTGTAAATCATTTGTAGAATGTTTCAATTAAAATTCTCAGATGGGCTTCAACCAATTCAAAATTGTCGTTTATAAATTGGCCAATTTGATTTTGCACAATTACAATTAACGGCATGGGGCATGATTATGGCTTTGAACAATTTTGACAATGTTACACATATTTAATAAATAGGCCTTATGATTGATGAGTTGAGAAACTCAAACATACCCTGTAACTGACCAATATATACATTTTGTATATATGCAACTATTCCATTAGGTATGTTTATATATTTAAAATAATATATTCCCTATGGCTTTGACTATTCGCATATTAAAGTAAATAAAACTTTCAATTCCCAATTTTAGCAGCGATTAATTTGTTTTAATTGATTGAAGTCATTTTGTGAAGTTTACTTTTTAGTCAAAAGAATATACTAAAAATCAGGGAATACATTCCCAGTGCGATTACAGGGTATTTTCAAAGTTCTAGTTAATTTTACTGTTCAACGGTGCGTATGCGTAATGTTGTGCGTTAAAAATCCAGGCACACAAAATATTTCAATTTCCGGTCGCGCAGCGTGCTACATTTACCAGTTAAACATTTATTTATACCCTAAGCGAAGAGGGTATAATTGACAGAAGCAAACACCTTCGACAAGACAAGGCATATAAAGTTTAATTAATTTGATTGAAAACTCCCCTTTTCGCGGATATCGATACAGATTGATTAAGACAAACTATGACATCGATTTTGTTGTTGTATTTTCATGTTGATCAAGCGTTCAGGGTATCTGCTAGTCGAGCACTCTCAACTTATTCATTTCCCGTAAGCTAAACGGCTTTATTTTTGGCCACATATTGTGCATAATAATATAACAACAAAAATGGCAACTTTGTCACTCTTTGTCCAATAATGTTTTAGAGTTGAATGAAAGCAAATCTTAAGCTGCTTTTGCAACAGACATCCTCATTATTATCATTATCATCATCATCATCGTCATCAGCAGTGAACAGTGGCAACAATAAATTCTGATTGAATTTTTCCCAGTGATGAGAGAAGAGAGATGCATTTTACTGCACACACACACAATTTTTCTATTATGTTTTTTTGAGAGTTGGTTTGGGGCAGGTGTGCGTTGTTGGTGGGGGTTGTTTCCCTCAGTGTGCATTTACCGTTTTCTGGTTTCGGCTTTCGTTTGACCGTCTACTGCTTCTTCTTCTTCTGCTTCTGCTTCTGCTTATTATTACCCTGGAGATGCCGCGTTGGGTTAGAATTCAATTATATGGTTGCATAGAGTGAAAGATAGAGGCGAAGATGCCACAAAACCGACAAGCGCATACAAAATGCAAGCAAGCTGCTGTACACCCTGTAAATGTGTGTGGGTCGGGTATACAGAGCCCTACTGTGAGTTAAGCTTTTGCTGCGGTTCAGATGCTGATTGGTTGAGTTGTTGACATTTGATTATGTTTATAGAAGCAGATTGAAAACTTGATGACAGTTTGATGATATCCCCTGGTTAATCTGAAGAATGTTAGATATTGTTGTTTTTATAGCTTGAACCAGTTGAATGAAATGATAATAAAGTTACGAAACAGTTACAGGGTATTTGTAATTCGTTGCCTCTCCGTCACGCATAGCTGTTCTATTTGTTTGCTGCTTGTTATCAGACTTACTATTATTATTATTATCAAGCAGAGACTCAAACCTCTGACTCCTGTCCGAGCGTTGCCTTGACCATTTTGTAATATGATATTTATAGTTATTTTCTACTTATATATATTATATATATATATATATATAATATTCAATCTGCGCATTGCTTGCTCGTTTTGTGTGCTGCATTTTGCTTTCATTGTTGCCAAAGATTTGCTGGCCACAGAATTTGACTTTGGGTTTCTTTCCTTGCCGTCTGCACACACACACACACACACACACACACAATTTTAATAAGTTAGCTCTTTGTCTGCCTCAGCTCTCTCTCCTGTTTGGTTGTACACCTCTACTGAACTTCATTCGATTCGATTCGAGACTATTGTCATTTCATTTGGAAAACTTCGTCGAGCAGAAACAAGCAAATTTTCAATTTCGGACTTGAGCTCGCTCTGCATTTAATGGCGTGTTGGAAAAAACAACAACAACAACGACAACGACGACAACAAACGGCTAGCTCATAAGTTACACTGAGTGAGGATGCGTTGAGTATAAAATTGAGACACTCTTTCTCTGTCTGCCTCTTTCTTTCTCTCACACGTAAACAAATTGTTTGCAGGCACTGTGTAAGAAACAAAACGCCCATATAATCTGTTCAATAACTTGGAAAATCATTGGCAATAAATCAAAATGACTTGCAGGAAGTGGCAGCTACCAGGAACACAATCAAGCCACAACACACAACACACACACAAATAGCATTAGAGTTGAGTTGCATTGAGTTTGAATCCGCTCTTAAAGTCGTTGGGCAAAAACGAATTTCAAATTCCATTCCAACACATGGGCGGCATAAATTTACGCCAGGCATTTTACGCAAAATCAGCAGAATATCAAGAAAACGAAATCCGTTTGGCTTGCTTGCCAATCGCTGGCGACGTTTGAATACCCTTTTGGGCAGCAGCTGCAAACCAAAAGAGAAATATATTATTTTTATATCAGAAACGATCCTCAAAAATTCAGTTTTTATAGTCATTTTAAGCATTAGCACATGAATACATTTCAGATTAGTTAAGTTGATTTATTATACTATAATTATACAGTTTGTTAATATATACTAGTATTAAAATTGTCAGATTGTTTGTAGATCAAGACATACCAGAATGTCGTACCGGAATCGCTAATCGAAATTAAGAACTCTACTCAAA